GTCTTCGCATCGTTCATGTTGCTGGTTGTCATGGTGTTGGGAGGATTTATTCTAGTAAAAGGTTAGAACTCATCTTTCTCTCTCTTTGTAATTCTTTGCAATGTAGCTTCTTCTTAAATCAATGCTTCTCTGTATTTCATTTTTCAGATAAAATTAAGAAATGGTGGATCTGGGGCTACTGGATCTCCCCAATGATGTATGCACAAAATGCCATTTCAGTGAATGAGATGTTGGGTCATAGCTGGGACAAAATATTGAATAGCACTGCCTCCAACGAGACCCTAGGTGTGCAAACCCTTAAGTCCCGTGGAGTATTCACAGAAGCAAAGTGGTACTGGATTGGCTTTGGTGCTATGGTTGGGTTCACCATACTCTTCAACGCTCTCTTCACTCTTGCCCTTACATACCTTAAGCGTGAGTAACTCCCAAACTGATTTTCTCATTGTTCTCTGATTTCAATGTATTCAAACCTATGAAGTGTGAATGATTCCATCTTGTTAATTTCCAGCATATGGCAACTCCCGGCCATCTGTATCTGAAGAGGAGCTGCAGGAGAAGCATGCCAACATCAATGGGGAGGTTCTGGATGGCAATCACTTGGTATCAGCAAGCAATCATCGATCAACAGGAGTCAACACTGTAGCTGATTCAGCAATCATGGAAGATGATTCTTCCTCGACTAAAAAGGGAATCATCCTTCCATTTGACCCGCTCTCGCTCACCTTTGACAACATCAAATACTCTGTTGACATGCCACAGGTGAAATATAGAAAGTTGATCTCTTGCGCAACAAATGCAATTTCATCACTATTTTGTAACCCTGGTCATGAAATTAAATTCAGGAAATGAAAGCACAAGGTGTACAAGAAGATCGTTTGGAGCTCCTCAAAGGTGTCAGTGGGTCTTTTAGGCCTGGTGTGCTGACCGCACTGATGGGCGTCAGCGGTGCAGGAAAAACTACTTTGATGGATGTGTTAGCTGGGAGAAAGACAGGTGGGTACATTGAAGGAGACATCCGCATTTCAGGATACCCAAAGAAACAAGAGACCTTTGCACGTGTATCAGGATACTGTGAACAAAATGATATCCACTCGCCGCAGGTGACAGTCTATGAGTCCCTGCTTTTCTCAGCATGGCTCCGGCTTCCCAAGGACATCGATTCGAACAAAAGAAAGGTTAGTTCCACAAAATAGTTGCAATTTCCACCCATAGAAGGATACAGTTGGTAGATAGTTGCTCACCATTATATGTGCAGATCTTCATTGAGGAGGTGATGGAGCTTGTGGAGCTCAAACCACTGAGAAATGCTTTGGTTGGACTTCCTGGAGTGAATGGTCTGTCAACTGAGCAGAGGAAAAGGCTTACCATTGCTGTGGAACTTGTTGCAAATCCGTCAATCATCTTTATGGATGAGCCAACCTCAGGGCTTGATGCCCGAGCAGCTGCAATTGTGATGCGGACGGTGAGGAACACTGTTAATACTGGTAGAACTGTGGTCTGCACGATACATCAGCCGAGCATTGACATATTTGAAGCATTTGATGAGGTGAGTGAGATTTCACATAGGATTTACTTCCAACTACCCTCTACTTTCTGGTCAGCGTTTGGTCATACTTGTTTTGATGTGGCTGGTTTTCCAAACCTTGAACTATGTTGCAACTTGCAAAGTCTAAAATGTTTGATCAATGCGTGCAGCTTTTCCTTATGAAGCGTGGTGGAGAAGAGATCTATGCTGGTCCACTTGGACATCTTTCTTCAGATCTTATCAAGTATTTCGAGGTAAATGATATTACAGGAATCTGAATATCCATCTATGAAATTCCTTAAAAATTATTGAGAAGATCATGTGGTTTCATATTATTCAGGCGATTCAAGGGGTCAGCAAAATTAAAGATGGCTACAATCCAGCAACATGGATGCTGGAAGTGACCACAACTTCTCAGGAACAGATTCTAGGTTTTGATTTCAGTGATATGTACAAGAAATCTGAACTCTACCAGTAAGTAAATTCGAAACCCTACTAGTCACTTCATCTTTGAAAATGACCATAGGTGGTTATATTAACAACTAGGAAAAAAATCTAAACAATTAGAACTAATTACAGTATACTAAACTTACCCACCAAAACGGAGTACTATCAGTTGGTACATACCAATGCACTTTTCAGTATTAACCAACCTTCCTTCTCCAGGGAATTTCTGCAGTAGATGATGTGTTGCTTGTTACATTTTACAGGAGGAACAAGGCCTTGATAAAGGAATTGAGCCAACCAGCACCAGGTTCAAGTGACCTGCATTTCTCTAGCAAGTACGCACAGTCTTCCATTACACAATGTGTGGCTTGCCTGTGGAAGCAGAACCTGTCATACTGGAGGAACCCTCCTTACAATACCGTTAGGTTCTTTTTCACTACCATCATTGCTCTCCTACTTGGCACCATCTTTTGGGACCTAGGCGGCAAAATGTAAGTCATGCCCAATTGTACCATTGCTTATGGCAAACAAGTGGCTTGACCTTCAATTTTTTATTCACGTTTTGCTTCTTATAATCCAGGTATACATCACAAGATTTGATGAATGCCATGGGATCAATGTACGCTGCGGTGCTGTTCATCGGGATCATGAATTGTACCTCAGTTCAGCCAGTGGTGGCCGTGGAGCGGACAGTCTTTTACCGTGAAAGAGCTGCTGGCATGTACTCAGCTTTCCCATATGCGTTTGGCCAGGTGAATGTTCCTCCTGGAAATCAATTTCACACGCGGCTTTTTCTGCTGCTTGTTGCCTGTTGGCCCATGTTCTAGAGAGCAGGGCACTGATCTGATCAATTTGTCTCCTCGCAGGTTGTTATTGAGCTCCCATACGCACTGGTTCAGGATATTCTATACAGTGTCATAGTGTACTCCATGATCGGGTTCGAGTGGACGGCTGCCAAGTTCTTCTGGTACCTCTTCTTTGGGTACTTCACGCTGCTCTACTTCACATTCTACGGCATGATGGCCGTCGGGATGACACCTAACTACAACATCGCCGCCATTGTCTCCTCGGCATTCTACGCCATCTGGAACCTCTTCTCCGGGTTCATCATCCCCCGACCGGTAAGACCTCCTCATGCCCCCTGCAACTTTTCTCTACGGTTTCCAAAAGCTCATTCCCGTTCTTGCCTCCCGCTGCCTTCAGAAAACACCGATCTGGTGGAGGTGGTACTGCTGGTTATGCCCCGTGGCGTGGACGCTGTACGGGCTGGTGGTGTCACAGTTCGGTGACGTCATGACTCCGATGGACGACAACAGGCCCGTGAAGGTGTTTGTCGAGGACTACTTCGACTTCAAGCACAGCTGGCTGGGTTGGGTGGCCGCCGTGGTCGTGGCATTCGCGGTGCTCTTTGCGACCCTGTTTGGCTTTGCCATCATGAAGCTCAACTTCCAGAAGAGATAATGACGATAGGAGCTGGGAAAATCACCTCCTGGACTAGGGATTTTGCATTCGTTGGGTCGTGCAGGTAGATTTGACTGTCATATTGGGAGAGTACGCCATATCTATGGATTCGTTGATTAGTTAAAGTTATAAGTTATTGTGCTGCTTTTTTTTTTGAGAGGATATTGTGCTCCTTTTCTGGGAGGACGATGGCGTAGTATTTTGTAAAGAATATTTTACACATCTAGTAAATTTTGTAAGCTTGTTGCCCCTTGCAAAGGATCAGTTGGAGAAGGCAAGGAAATACCTCATGCGTTGCTGTTGACTTATAAGTATATACATACTATTTTGATACGTGTATACAAGTACTAGAAGACTGCAAGTACATGTGAAAGAATCATAAAAACCTGGCCTTCCTTTCATGTTTCTTTGGTTGATTGCGCCCACAAGACAACGTGGACAAGCAACGAAACATGCAAGAGAAATCAATCACACTCTGACCTTCTAGTAGCCGTCTCTGCGTTGACCTTCTAGCCATGCTGTTTGCACCAGGGGAACGAAAACCATTCTCCTGCCGCACACATACTGACATAAAGAAGATGACTTCTGTAGCCTAGGGACGCTGTGTAACCATGCAGCCACGAAATCAAACTTTTTAGTTTAAGGCATTACAGAACAACCCTTCTTCTTTTGCGTAAATAGCCAATCATTACAAAATTTTCAGAACAATTGCTGATTATCAAATAAAGGAAAAACACACTTAAGTTCATTAGATAGCACATCCTGCTTAGGAACTATGCATGCAAGTAATATGTTTGAAGTGCCCATTCTGCTGCTCAAATATGCGTGCAAGCATGTATACGTAAGTGCCTACATATACTTTTAGCTTATCATCTAAGCTGCTGCTCAGCTCTTGCACTACGTGTCTACGCGATTAGGGGCCGTTTGCTTCACGACCTGGCCTGGTAGCGCCGCCATGTAACTCAGTCCAGCTCTAGGTGTTCAAAACCGAATGCTTGGGATCGGTGTCTAGATCAAGCAAGATTTCCAGCTCACAAAACAAATATATTCTTATTGTGTTTGAGGCAGCTCAATCCATGATAGGGACCATGAGTCTAAAATCAGACAGATCGCAGGACCAGGCAAGGTTCCCAATCTAAGAAGACGCAAAGCAAACAAGATAGGGACAAGAGAGCTGACTTGGGGAAGATGAAGGTGGGTTTGGATGCTTGATCGAACGGTGGAAAAAATCGGGTATAAGGGCCTTCAAAAACACTCGAATACATTCACTATTCCTTTATTTTTAAGGACACCAGGCACATAATCTGTCGGACAACACAATAAATTTAGTCGGTACCAAATTGCACAAAACTGAAGCATTCCATGATGTTCACATGATTGATTTGGGTAGGGCAAGTGCAATTAGCAACGAAAATAACACGTCACTGCAAAAAGATAATTGTCGCAAAAGTATTTATTCTTCAGCATTGACTATAAAATCAAGCCAGCTAAATAGCAAGTTCCAGAAACTTGCAACAGCACTTCAAATCATCTGTAGCAAGGACTATGTCACCATGGCACCAGATCTTTATTCATCTTCTGTGCGGACAGCTGCAGAAAGAACCAAGTTAGCATTGTATTAATATACAAAAGCTATACATGCAAACTGAACACAATTAAGGTTCATACTCTATGATAGGAAAAAATTATCCGTGCAAATGAAAAGAAAACTCATCCAGTTCTACATAGTATTGAAACGAACAGAAAAAACAACCGAACAGTTGAATATAAGCAACATATGATGGCTAGTTCATGCCTTTGGTTCACAGGAATGGAGCATAGGAATAGTGTGGGAAATTTTCCTTTGTTTTGGAGGGAAAATGTAGAACTTTGCATCCACTCAAACCTCTTGGTAAAATTCCTATGGAGCCTACCCAAACGATCATTTCTTCAACATTTCTATGTTTTCTATTCCTGCAGAATTCCTATGTTTTTCCTATTCCTTTGTTTTTGCATTCCTGTGTTCAAAATAGGGCCTTACTTCGATAAAATGGATCATAGATGCAGACGCATTATATGCAACCCATTAACAGAGATACGACAACTGCCAATTGTTTACTTTGATATGCAAACAGTAATTGCTATGGATGATGCTTATATAAAACTGAGGTATTATGCGCTAAATAGTACTGCAATCTGTCAGCTGCTTTACTGAAGTGTTCATTATACAAATGTAAAAAGTTGTATGCATTCCTCTGCTACCATTGTTCAAGTTCTACATCACAAAGACAAAAAAAAAAAAAAATCAAAGGGATTCACATAAGCATTAAGCACTGAAACAGTGAGGACAAGCATTCTCCAATCATTATGTAAGGTTATCACTACTAGAAACACAAGAAAAATTCATGGAATTACCTTAAACGCAAATCATTGAATTTCATGGAACTACCTTAAACACAAAGCATCAAATTTCATAGAATAATTGATTGTCTATTATACAAGGATGAATTTTTCCTCATATTGTGCATGGTTTATGGTTTTCTTTTGCAAACATTTGTGTGGGGCGAGCATGCATGCTTGTATGTATGAGCAATGAAAGGTTTAACTGATTAAATGGTTGTTACTTGTTAGTTTGTTACATTACAGAACAGAAACAGAATAACAACGTGGTCAGGGAAGGAACATGATCACACGAATTAGGAAACACAATCAATCGCCATCCTTCAGCAGGATTTCTGGCACAATTAAACAATATATACATATTACATGTGCAATGATTTCCTATAAGTTATCATCAGTAGGTTAATTTCTGTAGGAACACATTTTCTTCAAGGAAGTGCTTCCCGATTCTAAACATAACAGTAATGCTACTGAAACATGTCATGACAGTTTCAGTAAGTTCTAACATCACACTTCATCCTTAATTCCTTATGACGACACACTCTGTGTTCCATCTTCAAATCCAGATTTCACAATTGAATGTGGGAAAGTCTCTTTATACTTCATATTCTCTAAAGTTGAGATCCAAAGATGCACATATATATGATTCATCATGGGATGCATTCAGGTTTGACAAATAATCCACATTTTGGTGCTACATTGTTAAGCGCTACCATCATCCACTTACTATCCATTAGGGATTTCTATGTGGTTGGGTTTTACAGAATGCTGGCATTTGTTACAATGTTTTCACCTTGGATCATGCAATTCAAAGTTTCAAACAGAACAGAAATACAAACCACTTCACAAACAACTAGAAGATTTGATAAACGATTTACCCAGTTTACCACTTCCACAAAACCTCAAAATGTGATTCTTGAGTACTGACTGTTGACTGCAGTGGCATCCTATGCGCCAATTAATTATCTACCTTCTACCCATCACATTTTGACCAACTCCATCAATCACCACACCAGATCAGATTTATGAAACGCAAACGCCACCAGCACGCGAACCAAAATGAGACAAACCACAGTCAGAAGTCAGGACCCCATCAGTGAACCACTAGATCAACCTAGACCTATATCCATGCTCAGCTTTATTAAGAACTAAATCGCAAACCCTAGGATCCCACCGTACCACATAACATCCAGGCAGATCGCGTCGAATCTAATCAAGGACGGCGGACATGAACGCATCGGGTGAAGGAGAGGGCAGATCACTCACTGGGCTTCTCCTGCTTGCCGTCCGCCCACTTGGAGATGGAGAAATGGACCTTCTCGCGGGACGCGACCTCGGACTTGAAGGGCTCCTTGAGGCAGTTCCGGACCAGGGCAGCGCAGATGTTGGAGTAGCCGATGTAGGTCATCCCCGCCGCCCGCCAGAAGGGCACCGCCGCCGTGGTCGCCGACATCGCGTTGCTTCCTCTTCGCTTCCCTTGCGCCGCCGCCGGTGGGTGGATGGAGAATGGGATTGGGGAAGATGCGACCGAGTCACTCACAGCGTGGTGTGGCCGGGCATTGGATTTGTAGGATCAAAGCCAACGGCCCAATAAGGATACCAGATGCGGCCCATCAAGCTGTTTGATAGTAGGTCTTCCATGTTTCCCTTTCGTTTCTTTCCATTTCTTCGTTTTTTTATGATAACTAATTCATTTTTTACTAGGTTTACCATTTTCTATGAATATATTTAAACTATTATATTAAAATATATTTAAGAATAATTCATTGCATCAGCGAAGCGCGCTTAACATTTTGTATAAGTACTTTATTGAAACGTCTTTTTCCATGTGCCCTCAACCTTTTAAAAAAAACTTATTTCACCAATTTCAAATTTTATTTCAATATATTAATGTCGATTTGTTGGTAATATCGTAGTCCAAAAATGTTGGTTTGTTAAGTTTTCAGAAACAATTAAATAATCATTCAAATTAGAGAAGGAAAAGTGAGCAGGTGAGGGATGACTAGTGGCCTCTGTTATCTTATTATTACTTCTTTTTGGTTAACGATGCTGCAGAAATCAGAATCCGAACAGTTTGATGGGAATATATGTGGGATTTGGTTCGATGTTTTATTATTGTAGGCTATATATAGCGTGTGGTTGAATGATACCAGAATTCAGCGGTTTCCGCTAACCGGAAATCCCGAACCAGTGATCATTCAATTGAATTGAGCGAAAGCCGAAGGTTGACGGAATCGAATACGGCCCACTGAACTGTGCCAACGGTAGCCGAAGCTCGCACAGCGACAGCACGGAGGCAGAGCTGCTTACTATTCTATAGCTTTCCGTGGCCCGAAACTAATACGGCATTTGCACTTGGCACCATGGCTCTGCTGAGTACATACAGTAGTACAGGTAGCCTTCTGCCTTGTGGTTCTGGAAGCAGCGGCAACGCGAGTCGCAGTGTCGCACACAAGCGGCGCACAGTAGGAAACGGGTTGCGATTTTGACGACGCGTGCGGCGTGCCCGAAATCAACCAGGCGCACCCGGCCCACGGCTTGTGAACGTCGCGTGCCCCTGGCACTGGCCGTGGCAGAGCAACGCAGCGCGCCATGCCGCTGGCCTCCCTGGCTCCCTTCCCGTTACCGCTGCGCTGCCTACAAAAACACCCGCCCCTTCCTCTACTCTCCCCAACTGCCTCGGCGTCGTCGCAGTCGCACTCCGCAGACACCACCTGGAAAACTTCGCGAAATCCAGGCCTGAGGCCACACCAGCCACACGGGGGGTGGTTTCGTCTCGGCTGCTCGGGCTGCGTCGCGGAGTTGGGGGGCGGGCGTGGGTAGCGCCGCGGCGGGTATGGACGCGGCGGCGGAGCTCCAGAAGGTGGCGAGCATGCGCCGCGACAGCGGCGGCTCCAGGTCGGGCTCCTCCGCGTGGTGGCGCGCGCCCGACGCGTTCTCGCGCTCCTCCTCGCGGATGGAGGAGGACGACGAGGAGGCGCTGCGGTGGGCCGCGCTCGAGAGGCTGCCCACCTGCGACCGCGTCCGCCGCGCCATCGTCCCGCTCGGCGGCGGGGAGGCGGCCCCGCAGGTGGTGGACGTGCTCGCCCTCGGCCCGCGGGAGAGGCGCGCGCTCCTGGAGCGCCTCGTGCGCGTCGCCGACGAGGACAACGAGCGCTTCCTGCTCAAGCTCAAGGAGCGCGTCGAACGGTGCGTGCTATTGGAGTGGACTGGACAGTGGACACACATATACAGCTCAGCTAGGATCTGCTTCACGATTTAATTTGCGCTCCTTGTGCCGCCGTGCGTACAGGGTCGGGATCGACATGCCCACGATCGAGGTGCGGTTCAAGCACCTAAGGGCGGAGGCGGACGTGCGCGTCGGCACCAGCGGACTTCCCACCGTCCTCAACTCCATCACCAACAAGCTCGAGGAGGTCGCCAACGCGCTGCACGTGCGCCGCAGCCGGAAGCAGGCCATGCCTATCCTGCACGACGTCAGCGGCATCGTCAAGCCCCGCAGGTAATCAACTTTTGAATGTCAAAAAATTATCTTCGTTGAGTCTGACATCTTGCCTGACGCTCGTTCCATTTGCAGAATGACTCTGCTGTTAGGTCCGCCCGGGTCAGGGAAAACCACCTTGCTGCTCGCCTTGGCTGGGAGGCTCGATAAAGACCTCAAGGTTTGTAAAAGTAAATTCACTCTAGTTTTAGTGTTTTACTGCCCGGTGCAGTGGTGAGAGCTGTCTCACTGGGTCACCAAGTCGCGGGTTCGAAGCAGCCTCTCCGTAGATTTTGCAGGGGTAAGGCTTGCCCAGACCCCACTCATGTGGGAGCCTCCGGCATTGGGTCCGCCCTTTATGTAATCAATCACGTTAAGTTTGCCATAATTAAAGGTTCCTGCAGACTTTTTCGTATTAATTAGAACACACACATCATCAACTTAGCACAAAATAATCAGCCAACAACTAGGACAGCTTTTGGAGGGGCAACGTCTAGAATATTGCACTATCTTCATGCAGAAATAGAACGATTCACAGTGACTGTGTAATAATTGGGTCAAATGATGAGCAGGTTTCAGGCAAAGTGACCTACAATGGGCATGAAATGGATGAGTTTGTACCGGAGAGGACAGCCGCGTATATCAGCCAGCATGACCTTCACATCGGAGAGATGACTGTCAGAGAGACGCTTGAATTCTCTGCACGTTGTCAAGGTGTTGGCACTCGCTTCGGTATGACTCTGAACAATTACTCACAAGGGTTTGCGTTCATTTCTGCTGCTTGCAGATTCTGCAGGATTGGCCTGTTTAATTGATGTACTTATCAAGTTCTTGTTATGTTGGCAGATATGTTGACTGAGCTTTCAAGGCGGGAGAAGGTGGGAAATATCAAGCCTGATGCCGATATCGATGCATTCATGAAGGCATGGCTTTACAATCTTAGATAAATCAAGAATATCTGATGACTTTGGTTCTATTTTTTATGATAACTTACATAGTAGCTAAGGACATAGCTTACTTTTCTGCTGATCTTGTTCAGGCTTGTTCAATGCGAGGACAGGAAGCTAATGTGATTTCTGACTATATATTGAAGGTATTTGACTTACAACTTTCACATTGAGCTACCAAAGTTTTCTTGTCCACTATTCAACATTTATACATCTGGTGTTGTAGATATTAGGATTAGAAATATGTGCTGACACGATGGTGGGAGATGAGATGTTGAGGGGCATCTCTGGTGGACAACGGAAGCGTGTCACAACAGGTAGAGATATACATAATTTTAGTATGGGTAACCTTCCTTTCTGTTTTTACCATGGTCACTTCTAGCTTGTGTGGCGTATTGGCTCTAAGTTTTCAATTTACTTGCTCATCTTCTACTGACCAACAGTCTGTGTTGAACTTTCTCTTACATATATACTTGGCTCTCCATCGAAATATATTAACTTCAATTCAAGAACATTAGCTGTCAGTGAAAAATGTTGTGACTGGCGCTACAATCCTGTACTGTAGGTGAGATGCTTGTTGGTCCGGCCAATGCACTATTCATGGATGAAATTTCGACTGGGCTTGACAGCTCCACTACGTTCCAGATCATAAAGTCGCTTAGACAGGCAATCCACATCCTCGGTGGCACAGCTCTCATCTCCTTGTTACAGCCTGCGCCCGAGACATATGATCTTTTTGACGATATCATACTGCTCTCAGACGGGCAGATTGTGTATCAGGGGCCCCGAGAAAGCGTGCTTGAATTCTTCTTGTCTCTTGGGTTCAAGTGTCCTGAGAGGAAGGGTGTGGCTGACTTTTTGCAAGAAGTAAGTAAACAGACACATTCTTCGTTCTGAAATACGGTGTCAACCATATCCTTTGATTCTTGTAACAATCTTCGTGGGCTCGCTGAGCAGGTGACTTCCAGGAAAGATCAGAAGCAATACTGGGTGCGGCGTGACAAGCCGTACCGATACATGTCGGTTAAGGAATTTGCCTCCGCGTTCCAGTCTTTCCATGTTGGGAGAGCCATAGCAAATGAGCTAGCCATTCCTTTCGACAAGAGCAAAAACCATCCCGCTGCTCTGACCACCTCAAGGTATGGTGTCAGTGCCTGGGAGCTGTTTAAAGCAAACATCTATCGAGAAATGTTGCTTATGAAGAGGAATTCCTTCGTCTACATCTTCAGAACTTTGCAGGTCATTAGAAACTCTATTCCAAACATAGTAAGGTGGTGTGAACGATAATTACAATGCCTGACTTCTTGGTGTGTTGATATGTCAGCTGATGATGGTGTCCATAATGGGAATGACTCTCTTCTTTCGTACCAAGATGCACCGTGACTCGGTGACTGATGGTGGTATCTACTTGGGCGCACTCTTCTTTGCGGTGATCATGATCATGTTCAATGGATTGTCTGAGCTTGCACTCACCATCATTAAGCTGCCAGTGTTCTTCAAGCAGAGAGATCTCCTCTTCTTTCCGGCATGGGCCTACACAATACCCACATGGATCCTCAAGATCCCAATCTCTTTTGTTGAGGTTGGTGGGTTTGTTTTCATGGCGTACTATGTCATCGGGTTTGACCCAAATGTAGGCAGGTGCGATTGATCAATGAGAGATTAAAGCTAGCTTGTTAACCAAATATTCATCACAGGGCTTTACTTACCATCCTTGTGGAATGCTAGGTTCTTCAAGCAGTATCTCCTTTTGTTAGCACTCAACCAGATGGCAGCATCACTCTTCCGATTTGTTGGTGGGGCAGCAAGGAACATGATTGTTGCAAATGTCTTTGGATCATTCATGCTGCTAATATTTATGGTGTTGGGTGGATTTATCCTAGTAAGAGGTACAGCCTCACCATTTTTTTTTAAAAAAAGAAGAGAATAATCTCACCGTTTTTTTCCATAGATAGTATTATTTATTGCTCCTCTTTTCAAAAGGCGGTTGCTTCTTTCTTTGTGAATTGGCAGATAAAGTGAAGA